GTTTGCTGCATCTGCATGTGCATCTTTAGTCACCGTGGGTTGTAGCCACTGATAGACCCATCTTCCATGGGTCAGTCGAATCCCCTGTGAAAGTAATCTAATCTACAACTTTCCTCTTGACATCACTTTGTCATCCATGTGTTGAGACCCCTGATCTGTGCCTGTCTAGCTGGCCCTGTGCATGGAACTGATAGCAATTCTGAGAATTCTACATTTGAGGTCCTGGCCTTCAACTTTCTGTCTAGTAACCTAAAGTTTTCCTCCAGGACCAAACAACTACATTTCCCGGTGTCACTGATGTCAGTGTGCACCACAACTGCTGACTCTTCCTCAGCACTATCTGTCACCCCATCTAGATAGTGCATGATGTCCATGACCTTTGTACCAGGCAGGCAAGTCACCATGTGGTCAAAATGCGTGTCACAGATCGCTCTCTCTGTATTCCTAATAATCAAATCACCCATTACCAAAAGCCCACCTACCTGCAACCCCTTCTAAAGGATCACATCCCTTCTTGACAGCCTGATGCCCTTCAACTTTGAGAGTCTCACTCTCCACAACAGCATAAGAGCTGTCAGCATAGGAGTGTTCTAGTTGGTCCCTGAAGGTCTCATCTACACACCTCACTCTCTCCTTCAGCTTCTTCAAGTCGGCAACTCTAGCCTCAAGGAAATGAACCTGCTTCCTAAGAGTCGAGAGGTCCATGCATCGAGCACACACCTACGATTTCTACCCAGTGGGCAGATAATCCTCAAAACACTGGATAACCCCCACTCCCCTGCTGGCTTTCTACCTTCATAACTTTTAAAGGTGTTAGGGTGAAGTAGGGTACTTCCCTGAATCTATAGCAAGAAGGATATAGTGGCACACCACCCTTGTTGATACGGAGTTCGTATGTCCTTTCTCAGGCAACTTGTTCTAGAGGGACTTGTCCCCCTTGACATCCCTCACTGAACTCCCAAGCTCAACTACCCTGTTAGAAATCCTATTCAAAAGCACTGGCAGCAAGGCCCCAAGGATCCTGAGTGCCTCTTACAGAGTGAGACCTCTAATGATGTCTGCTTTACAGCTCTGAGCACTGGCTTTACCCCCAGGAGTCAGAGAACAGCAGGCAGCTGACTCACAGAAGCAGAAACCCCTCTCAGCAGGACCATGTGCTTCTCGTGCACTCCTCAAACACTAGAAGTAGATTTTTCACCCAGACAATAGCCCAAACAGCTCAGAAACCATGTAAGCACAAGCAAACAGGCACCCAGCTTACCCTTCTTCGGCCCTTGCACAAATTCCAAACTCAACTCCCGTTAGAAGCCCTGTTTGAAAGCGCTGGAAGCAAGCCCCAGGAAACAAGCCCCCAGGGATCCTTAGTGCCTCTTACAGATTCAGACCTCTTTTGGAGTCCTAAAACTATTTGGTGGTAGTAATCCATGTTGTGAGTTAATATAATTGCTCCTTTCTTTGCTCTCTGTGCCTTGAAGGCAGGACTGAAAGGAAATGTTTCATGCTAAATCCTCAGTTTTAGGTAGATGGAGAGATGCTTGAATATGAGTGTTACTGGTTTGGGAAGATGGATCATAAAGTGGTTCTGAGGACTAATGATTTGAGATGTCAGGACACTGTCATCAGTCATAAGAAATAGCCATTGTTTCTCTGCATTAAATCCAGTAGGGATCTCAGTTCTTTTTTAAGGAAAAATGGCCTATCTGTATGTAAAAAATCAATTTTAGACTTCTAAATTTGGCTGTCTGTGGAACCGCAACAATTTTAAAGTGAATGTACGTGTCTACTGCTTTTAAAAATAACTTGCAGCGAGAATCAAACTACTAAAATGTTTACTGTATTGTGCAAAGTTATAACAGTGATTGGCCTTTTATGTTTAATGATGCAGAACAGGAAACAGTGAGTTGATTCTGTTATGGAAACCATAAAGTACATTTAAGGAATCTTAATAGAAAGGACCATCCAGAACCCACTTGATGCTGCTGCCAAAAGGTTGAATTTTTACAATCCCCCAAATGGCAACCTTCTTGAGAATAGCAGATAACATGAAATTCATCATTAATTGTTCAGTGATAGTTTAATGGCTACCTTCTGTTATACCAAAAGTCTTGTAAAAGGTACATTGTGCACCTTCTTAACATGCATAGCTTATAATTGTAGCCAGAGGTCATTTCGTAGAAAAAGAGGTGCAGTAGTTCATTAGCATAACTCATTAGCATAACTTATTTGCATATACCACACCCTTGACATCACCGAAAGTGTGTCATAAGGCAACACCCACCACTCAGGTTCCACTGGACTGTTTTACATTGCTAGCTATTGGGGGGGGGGAGGTGCAGATCTGTCCTCGCAGAAGAGGAAGAGCTTGTACCTGAATAAAACTTGGTCTTAAAGGTGCCACTGGACTGTTTTTGGATTGCTAGCTATGGGGGGGGGCGGAACAGGCAGATCTGTCCTCACAGAGGAGGGAGAGCTTGTACCTGAATAAAACTTGATCCTAAAGGTGCCACTGGACTGTTTTGGACCAGGGGGCCAGGGGGAGCTCTGCAACTTACCTGGATGCTTCTTGCTCTGACTGAGGGCTGCTGGGAGCAGGGGGTGGGGCTT